CCCACCCCACACCCCCGCCTGACACAGCAACTTGCAGGAAACCCCATCAGTTGTCACTTCCAGTCCCACTAGTCCTTCGTGTCCCAGCACAGCGTGCCCTCAGCGAAGCTTCTCTGAGTCTCCCCAGCATGCTGCATACCACTGCTTTCTGCTTCCGCAGAGGGACACCACGCACTCCTGCACAGGTGGGCATGCACTGTGCAAAGGTGGGCACAGCCGTCTTTTCAACCAGACAACCAGCTCCTGCAAGGCCTAAGGGATGCACTGAGCCCAGACCCTGGGAACTGGCCTGGCTACTCACAAGTGCATGACCATGGGCAGCACACAAAATGCCCTGAGCCCTGGTATCCTCTTCTGAAAAATGCAGGGACAACCTCCCCCAAGCACTGTAGCTACAACAGACAAGGCCACGTGCACAGCACAATGCCTGGTAACACATGTGTGAGGAGCTGGGACAAGGGCAGGCCTCCGCGCAGTGAACTCAAAGCAGAGAAGAGGGAACACTCCCTCTGCCCCAGCCTCCGTGGGGAAGCACAGGACATACGGCTGGAAAGAAGGCCCCCAAGGAGGTGGCAGCATCCCACGACCCCCTCGCCGCCAATTCCTCCCACCGGCTGGTGCCCTCGAGCCCAGGGCCTGGGCCTCCCCTCTTCCTCTCCATGACACTCTGCCAGTGACCTGGTCCGGTCTCCAGACTCGAATGACCCTCAACCTCTATACCCCTTGACTCCACTCAAACTAAGTATCTCTGACTCCACAGACCCACAGCTGAGCCCCGACCTCCCTACAGCCACTCCTCCCGCAGCCCCGTCTCCCCTCAGTGAGCACCTTCTTCCAGTCACTTGGTCAAACAAAAATGTTGTCCCAAAGTCAGTTCTTTTTCTCACCCCCACAGCGGATCAATTAGCAAAACCTTCCCAGTATGTTCAGAATCTGCTCGTCTCCCCAGAGCAGCTGCCGCCTAGGCCCATGGCACCATTCTGGTGCCTCCTAGCTGGTGCACCCAGCAGAGTGATCAAGTGCTCAAGCCCTCCAGTCACTCAGGATCTAATTGGGAGGAAAATCCAGAGCATGCTCTGACCACAGGTCCTGCCCTCTGCCCCTCTCCCCAGCCCCTTCTCACACCCCACCAAGCCTGCCCACTCAGCTCCTGCCCCTTCCCACCGCCAGCCCCTGGCTTCTGCCCCTGGCCTTGCTCTGGCTCTTCCCTCTGCCTGCAGCACTGACCGGGGGCTCCTCTCCCACCTCCTCCCCGAGCTCCCCTTCCCTCGGCCCTGCTTCATCACTCTCCTCCACCCCACCTTCTAACACCCAATATGTGTTTTAAAATCTGTCTTGCACATGGTCTCTCTGTGCCCCACAGCCACAGGGGAAGAGTGAGGACAGAGATTTTGATCAGTATTGGTCACAGCTGCCCCCAGCACCCAGCACAGCGTTGGGCACATCACAGACACTCTTTAGGGGGTGCAGGAATCAGGTCACAAGGGAGGCAGAGAAAGCGGATCTCCCTGCCCACCCAGACCGGACCTAGCGCTGACTCCATCAGTCCAGAAGGCGGACACATTCCCCAAAGGCCCACTGACGGGGCTCTACCCCTTCCTATGCTCAGACCCTTCTCGCTCTCAACAACCTCCAGCCAGGACGAAGGCTGGGACCCTCTGCCAGGGCGGGTGCTACAGGGGCTGTCTGCCCTTGGCCTCTGCAGGCTTTCTCTCCCCTCCGAGCCACCAAGCAGGAGGTGGTGAGAGCAGAGGTCTCCTAGCACTCAGGATGTGGCAGGCTCTGCGCTGACCACTGGCCCATCCTGTCACTTAATCCTCATGGCAAATGCATGAGGTCACTGAGCCCAGAGAACCTGCCTGCGACACTGTCAATACAAGGCAGGGCCGGGACGCGAACCCAGGAAGTCTGACCCAGAGCCCACCACGAAGCAACAGTGCACTTCCCCTGGGAAACCAGCCTCCCAGAGAGCCGATTCTGACCTGCGAGGCTGTCTGGGGAGACCCTGCCCGGGACTCTGGCTGTCGTGGGCGAGCTCATCTGCAGCAGCACATCTACTTCTGCCCTTTGTTGGCGCTCCCCATTACTCTGCCTGCAACGCCTGCTTCCACTTGAGGGGTGTCCACATAACTCTGAGCCTCGGGTTTCTCGTGCCGTGTCCTATCTCCTTGCTCAACTCCATCCTTCTGGACCTTTCAGTCCTGGCTCAGACACGACCTGCTCTGACCATCCCTGACCTTCCTCCTGGCAGGGGCCTCTGTCCTTAAGTCCTTCTCGGGTCATCTATCTGCCAAGGACACACCCATACCTGCACACACCTGACCCTCCCCGGGGCCTCAGGATGTGGCTTCCAGAACAGGGCCAAGCGTTGTCGTCATAGCTCCCAGTGCAAATCCCAGGCTCAGAATTAGAAGCAGGAATCCCTTCCACCCCCACTAGCCCTGGTGGGGAAAGGAAGCCCCCAGAACCCGCTGACACCCTCTGTGAGTGGGTGGGAACGGGGCTTCCAGGTCAGACAGTGGGACTAGGGAGCTGAGATGCTGTTGGAAGCACCACATGCTGCCCAGCGGAGGCTCTGCTGGTGCCCTCACCTCAGGGCTAGCACCACCCTCGGCACAGGGGGCTGGCTGTGAGCAAGGCTTGGAATGTGACACAAAGCATTCTCCTGTGGCCAGGCGGGGGAGGGCCAGGATCAGCACTACCAGCTCCCAGAGGAAATCGCATTCCAACCCACCGCAGGCTGGACCACTGTCAGCCAGCCAGGCTCGCCTGGGGCCTGCATGACATTTGGGAACATCCTCAGTGCCCAAGCACACCCAGGGGCCGGCCTCCTCCCTGAGGACCACACAGGAACCCCAACCTGCGCCCCTCCACCAAAGGCGCGCTGAGCGGCTCAGGCCGAGACTTGGACTCATCCCTTCAGCAGGTATTCCTGGAGCTCTGGCTGCTGCTCCGGAGCATCCCAGACACAGGACTCCCACCCTCCATCCCCAACCTGTCCTGGGCCGTTCTCCCAGGAAGGTGACCTGGGGCTGATGCTCAGAGCCCTGCCTCCGGGAGGCTGTCCTTCAGAGCCAGAGGTGATGAGGCCGGAGGCTGAGGCTCTGCCCAGCCAGGCGCGGGGGCGGGGCACAGCAGCCGCAGGGCCCAGCCCTGAGCCTTTTACCTTTTCACACTCAGCTCATACTCAGTCCGCTGTCGGCTCAGCTCTGCCCGGAGCTCCGAGACCAGGCCCTGGAGAGCCGTGGCCCGGTGCTCATGGTCGCGGGCCGGGCTGCCTGGCTCGCTGGGCTCACTGCTGCTGAGGCCGATGCCCACCTCATCCAGGCTGCGGCCCAGGTCTGGGGACCTGCACTCCTCGCTGCTGCTGGGGAAGGGGGAGGGCTCCAGGGCGCCCTCAAAGTGCAGGGAGCTGCAGGCAGAGGAGTCGCTGGCCCGGCAGGCTGTGCAGCTGCTGACGGAGCCCCCAGCGGAGGCCTCGCAGGAGGAGGCCCCCGACCACGCCGTGCTGGACACACTGGGCGTGCTGGGGACAAGGCTGGGTGCGGGCACATTGTCATAGGTGGAGAGTCTCTGCGAGGAGCTCGAGTCCTTGAGCCGGTCCCCTGATGAGGCCCGGCGGTGGCCGCGCAGGGAGGACAGCCCATTCATGAGCCAGTTCCCGCCAGAGGAGATGATGGGCACCTCTGGGGATGAGCTGCCCACCTTCGGGCTCCCTGACCGGGACCCAGACTGCCGAAAGGAAGACTTCCAGCTGGGCAGAGTCTGCACCCTCTTCCCTGGGCTGCGGGTGGCAGGGCTACAGTGGCCGCGTGGGACCAGGGGCGAGTTTCTGGAGAGGGCGGCCACAGCAGCCCCGTCCAGAGATGAGGTCCTGAGTGAGGGCAGGCCTGGCGCGCTGGGGCTGTGGGGCTCTGGCTGGCTGTCCCTTGGGACCTCCTCAGAGCCCCATCTCGCTGTGCACGGTGCGCTCCCGAGGGGCGTGGCCGGCCCCTCGGTGGCCCTCGCACTGAAGAGCTGGCTGTGTTTACGGATCAAGACGGTCATCAGGTGCTGAACAAGGGACGTGCCTGCCAAGAAAACAGAAGGAGAAAGGCCTGGCTGTGGACGTCTCCAGTCCGGGCTCTCCAGGCCAGTCAGGGGCGCTGCAGCTTGGACCCAGGGCACCTGGCTCTGTCTGCAGCCCAGAGCCAGGCTGCCCCTCAAGAGAGGACTCAAGAAGAGCTGGCCATCAGCCACCCTCCCATTCCAGGTCCAGACAGAGGGTTCCTGCCCGGGAATCCCCGTCCTCTGACAGCTGTGGACCTGGAGCACAGAGGAGGCACTGTGCCTCCCAGCCCACTCCACCCAGCTGGGTGCAGGAGAAAGCAGGCACGATGCCCACTAAGGCTGTGGGTGAGCAAGCGGCAGGCTGGGACTGGACACCAGAACCTGCATGTCAGAGCCCTCTCGCTGCCCCAGGTCATACCTGTGCTACCGATGACATGCGTGCCTGACTACGCATGCTTTCAGGGGCACAGGCTCGGGCACAGGGACTACGGATGTCCCACAGGTGCATGTGGGCACCCACACCCCCAGTCATGCACATGCCCAGTTACCTTCCATAATGGTCACTGGGTCTTCTATCTGTGGCCGAAGTATATTAGGTCCAAAAACGGTTGCCAGGTTCTGGACGCTCATCTTGTTGACATTGGAGTGGGACTGAACTTCATCCAGAAACCTGCCAAGCAAGGAAGAGGCCGTTGGTGAAGCCAGTCCTGATGCCAGCTCTGCAGGAAGCTGCCTGGCACCCATACCCAGCCACGCCCATGTGTTCCCACGGCCACCGGGCACAGCCTGCTACCCTTGCCCACTCAGAAGAGGGCAAGCTGCCTCTGGGTTCCGGGGGGTGGGGAGCAGAAGCAAAAGCCAGTGGGACACAGTCCCATCATCAGCATGGAAGGAGGACCTATGACTGTCCCGCCTGCAGTGGGGGCAGATGTCTGGGAAGGCCCAGATCCCCGGCATGGCACCAGGTAAGGACTGCCCTGCACCTTCTCCCAGCACCTGAGCTGAGGTCATGGTCGGGAGGCAGGCTCCTTGGGGCAGGGACTTCAAGAGGCACCAAGAGGAGGCAGGAAGACCGGCTATGTCCCTTTCCTTCTGAAAGACCCACCTGGGACTTTCACACTGCCTGCTCTCGAGGGGACTGTTGCTGGGTGTGCCTGGGACCGAGTCCTTCAACAGTCCCCGCTGGCTGACTGGCTGCCACTCGGGGAGCAGTGTGGGGTGGGAGAGTGGCCCAGCCCCTGCCCCAGCCACTTACTTGCAGATATATCTGAGCAGGTTGTAATTGGCCAGGGGAAGGCTGCTCACTTGTTTAGCCAACTCCAGAGTCCCCTTGGTATTGAAAGAGAAAAACAGCATTTCTGAGACAAGCCACTGGCCCTTCTCTCACTGAGGGAGGGATAGGGAGGCGGGTAAGGAAGACGGAGGGGGGCAGAGGGTGGGGGTGGCAGGCACCAGAGGCCAGACCTCCAGCCACCCATTCGGCTCGGCATCAGGTGACCAGAGGGCACCACCCACTCCATCTCCCTCCCAGGAGCAGGAATAGCCAGGCCAGGCCTGTGACCTCCTGGAAAGGCAGATTTACTTTGGGGGACTGGTGTGAGGGGGGTGCCTCTGCAGGGCCACGGAGGAATGTCAGGGCCAGTGCTTATCGAGACACAAATATTTGCCAGATAAAGACCCCTCATCTCCCACATGGCCACAGGAAGGGCAAACAGTCCTGCCCCCACCAGGCACCTGCAGGGTGGGGTGGGAGCCTCTGTCCTGTCTCAGATTCTTTTGGAAGGAGGCAGGACATAAACAGATGAAAGGTGTAGTTGTTTCTGAACTCTGTGGCCACCTGGGCAGCCTGAAGGTGAGGAAGGGTCAGGAGGTGCAGGAGGAGGACCTACTGTGTGGCTCCTGGGGCATGACCAGAGCATGGCCCAGCGGCCCCCAGGCGAGGCCTCACACAGGGAGGGCCCCACAGAGGGATCCTCCAGCCCCACAAGAGCAGGATTCTCCAGGCTGCCTGCCCCATAAACAGGATTCTCCTGCCCCCACCCCAACACACACACAGAGCAGCCGGCAGGTCAGGATCTCAGTGCCTCAAAACATGAAGGTCAGAGTTCCATGTCCTGATTCCACAGCCCACCCCCCTCGGCAGGTCCACCTCCCAGGGCGAGCCCTCAGGGCACTGACCTCCCCCTCGTCCTTGGTGAGCAGCTGGGCGCAGCTGAGGAAGTCCTCATACCTGGCGAAAGGGACCACAGGCTCAGGCAGCTCCCGCAGGTACAGCTTCAGCAGGGAGGCCACCGTGTGCACATCTGTTGTGCTGCCAGCAGGGGACACGTGAGAAGCATGGGTGCCAGGAAACCACAGGAGTAACCCGCACCTCCCCCAGGTCAGCCTCTGCTGTCAAGCCCTTGCACTGTGTGCGCGCGAATGTGCACAAAACAGACACAGAGGGGTGAGGACTGCATCTGCACCCCCTGCCAACAGCTCTCCCAGGCTGTCCACCTTGTTGCTAGGCAGAGGGTCGAGGAGGGTCTCCTTTGAGCCACACTGTCAGCTCCAATAGAAGGCCCAGGTTGCTCCCAGGAGCGGTGCGCAGGGGCCTGGTGGGGTGGGGACTGGAGCTCCAGCTTAGGCAACCTGCAGCCCGGGCGCCGGCTCAGAACCACTGTGCCGCAGGCCTGTCCATCCTCAGTTCTCAGGGGTGGCAGCGTGGGACCCCCACTGCTGCAAAGCCACGGCCCGGCAGGTGCAGCTCTCCTGCACAGTAGCTGCTCAGGGTGGGACGAGTCACGTGGCCCCTGGCTCCCAGAGGGCCCTGTGACAGCTAGTCAGGGAACTGGTGGGCGTGAAGAGTCCTTATCTGGGAGCCTGGGGACCACCCGAGCCCTCTGCAGGGTGACATGGGAGCTGAACCGCTCCTGGGAGGACAGGGGGTGGGGAGTCAGGGACACAGCTGTTCCTGTCCCAGGCACCAGCCACCAGGGGCATGCAGGTCAGGCTCTTGTCCTTGGCCTCTGGGTTCCAATCACACAATGAATGCCTGGGCTTCTGTGCTCCTCACCCTGTTTCCAACACCCCAGCACCCTGTGCATCTGCTCCCAGTCTTCAGTCTCTTGATTCTGGCTCAGAGCTTCCCAGGCTGAGGTGGGCCCCCAGGGAGGGCAGCAGCCCTGGGTTCTGGGCTCTGGTCCTGGTCTTGGCACTTCCTCTAAGCTTCCCTGCCAGGCAGGGCCTGGGCTTGGTGACCAAAAACAGTGCTGGTTGGCTGCGTTTACTAGTTAGTCATCTGTCCTGGCCCTGGAGGGCAGGACCTGTCTGTCTGGTTCATGGCCACACCCCCGTGCCTGCAAGGGCTCACTCCGTGGATGAGTAAAGCAACTGGAGGGAACTAAGAAAGGGCTATTGCGAGAGCACGTCAATGGAGCTGGCAGGGGTGGCTCAAAGGAGACCCTCCTGGCAGCAAGATGGACAGGCCGGGGAGAGCTGCTCCAGGCCCAGGAGCCAGGGCAGGGGGAAGGGCTGGGTATGAGACAGCTCTAGTGAGGGAGGCTTCCAGGCTGATGGGCTCTTTATGCAGCAGGGAGCCCAGGACCTGGGGCTGGCGTTCATTGTCACCCACACAAAGAGCGTGGTTTGTACCCAAGGAGTGAGACTACTCTGGAATGCCACATAGAGCAGGTGGTGGGGGAGTAGCCCCTGGGCCCCTCTAAAAGGGAGTAAATGAGGAGAGGAGCCTTGGGACCTGTGTCATGGGCTGGGTACAAATGCAGGGCCAGAGCACCACCTGGAGATGGTGAAAAGTGGGAAAGAATGGTGTCAGGTACCCCAGGGAGCAGCTTCTAGAAGGGAAAGCACCCAGAGACCAGAGTCAAGGGTGAGTTTCCAGAAATCACAGAAGCAATCTCCAACCACAGCCCTGGACCACACGGGACCAGACGGAAGAGGCCTGGCTGGCAGAGGTTCAGAACAGACTACAAGTTCAGAGTATCAGGATGTGGCTTCATGAGCTCCAGGGGAAGGGACCCCGTGCCTCCTGGGCAGACCTCCTCTGGGGAACGGTCAGTCTCATGCTCCAAATCTGAAGAAATAAACTGACAGACTCCCCCGGCCGTGGTGACGGGCCTGGGCAGAAGCTGGAGGCCTGGGGGGGTTCCACCCTGAGGGGAGGCCTGGGAAGGCCCGGGCTGCCGGCAGAACCCCGTGGACATATCCTGGGGCAGAGGGGGCTGCATCTGTGCAGACAGACCCAAGAAGAAAGGGCAGGGGCTCCACGGAGGCCAGGGTAGGCTTGATGGAGGAAGAACTTCCCATGAAAAACTGTCCCATCAGAGAGAAGAGGCCCAAACAGCCCCAGCTCCCCTGTTCTCAGCTGCTGGGCTCAGTGAAGGTGACTCCAGAGGGAAAAGCCCAGGACCTGGTAAGGCCAGTGATGGGTTAGGAGGGCACAGGGCCAGGACAGGTGGCGCAGGCTCGGTCCCCATCCCAACACCTGAGAGAATGAGGGGCCACAGCGACTGCTCGGCTCTGCACTGAGGGGGTCTGGAGGTGGGTCACTGGAGGCAGGCCCAGGGACAGACACTCACAGAGGACCTGCAGTCTTGCCTGAAGCACCAGAGGCCCTGCCTTTCTCCTGTCTGCATGGGGTGAGGAACCATTCTGCCTCCCATCCTGCTGCCAGGCTTCCCAGGCACCAGCCCACCCCTGCCATGGGAGCGGGGGAGGAAGGGGCAGGGGGCTCCATCTCCATCTCTTCCCCAGGAGCTCACCTGTCAAAGAGCGGCTTCTCCCCGCAGTCAAAGGAATCCTGCAGGTCCCTCACCAGGTTGGCCTGGCCCGGCAGGCGGAAAAGCCCCTCCTCCGAGAGCCCACGCTCCCGGATGAAGTCCACGCACTGCTCCACCAGCAGGGGTGCCAAGCGCGGGCCGTACTTCCGCTCATGGTGGACTGTGTCCTCCAGGCGCTGCCCGAAGATCCCTGGGCACACAGAGGACCTGGTCACACCCTTAGCTATCGGTTTAGTGGTGACAGTGGGCTCCTGGGAGGCAGGGGCACCGTCAGGGCCAAAGGTGGCCGCTCCTGGGGAGCACATTGGAAACTATGAGGGCACACACAGGGTGGCTGGGTGCCAGCCCCGGGACAGGGAGCAGGAGGGCACAATGGACGGGGGGCCTGTACTGTGCTGTGGAGCTTGTGCAAGCCCAAGGAACCTTTGAAGGACCTCAGGGAACACGCATTGTACATTTTATTGAGTGGTTTGTTTATGCAACGTTAACCTCCAAAGAGGCCTGGCTTACATTTAAAAACTCAAGACCAAGTTCACCAAAAGACCTGCTCTAGAATGTTCCAGTAGCACTCCTTGCGATCCCTCCAAACGGGAAACCACCCAATGCCCATCAGCAATAGAACAAGCGCTGCACTCACCACCCTAACGCCAGAGAGCAATGAGCACAGGTGGGGCAGAGCTCACGGGACAAGACTGTATTCATGTGAAAACACAATTGTGACTCGACATCTCTGATCATCAAGGAAACGCTGATGGTCAAAACCTCAGCGAGACACCACCTCACCCCTCCCAGGACAGCTACCATTTTAAAAAAACAGAAAATTACAAATGTTGGCGAGGATGCAGAGAAATGAACCCTTGCACACTGTTGGTGAGAATGTAAAACGGGGCAGCCACTCTCCAAAATAGTGTGGAGGCTCCTGAAAAAGCTCAGAACCATGTGACCCAGCAATTCTACTTCTAGGTATGTACCCAACATAACTGGAAGTAGACATGAACATCTATTAATAACTCATGTTCATAGCAGCATAATTCACAATAGCCCAAAGGTGGAGGCCACCCAGGTGTCCCTCAGCAGAAGAGTGAAGACACACAACGCGGTCTGTGCTGAGGATGGAATATTGTCCAGCCTTATACAGGGAGGACATTCTGACGCAGGTACGACATGATGTCCTTGAGGACCTCACACCAAGTGAAATAAGTCAATCGCAAAAAGACAGAGACTGCATGATAACACTTACGTGAGGCACTTAGAATAATTAAAATCATAGAGACAGAAGCAGAAGGGCGGCTGCCAGGGGCCAGCAGACCAGAGATGGGGAATTGGTGTTTAATGGGGATGCGGTTTCAGTTTCCCAAGATGGGAAGAGCTCTGGAGATGGATGACAGTGACAGTTGCACATTATGAACACACTTAAAAATGGTTACGATGGTGTCTGTTTTAGTCGTTACCAAGGATATGTTTATTGATTTTTAGGGAAAGGAAGGGAGAGAAAGAGAGACATTGATGTGAGAAACACAGTTGTCTCCTGTATGTGCCCCTACCGGGATCGAACCCGAAACCTAGGTATGTGCCCTGACCCGGAATCGAACCCACAACCTATTGAGGAACGGGACAATGCTCCAACCAACCAGCCAGGGCTAAGATGGCAAATTTTACGCTAGCTCTATTTTATCAAAAAAATTTTTAAATTTATGAAAACACAACACATTAAAAAAATGCAAAAGCCAGACCCAGACCAAACACTTCACTACTCCATTCATGTAAAGTACAAAACTAAGTCAGGACACCGGTCACCTCAGGGCCCGTGGCTGGGAGGGGCAGAGGGCGTCTGGTGGCTGGAAATGTTGATTCTGGGCCTGCACACTGCTTCCCGAACTGTGTTCACTTCGAGAAAAATCATTAAACTGTACGCTGTGATTGGCACACTTTTCTGTATGCCATATTTCAGTAACATTTGCAAAAAAAAGTCAGGAAGCAAAGTATCCAAAACATTTAATCCAGGACAAGAAATGCAATGAAGGACAGATGGATAGAGCAGAAGAGGAGGAAGGTGGAGACCTTGTGACCAAGGAAACCTGTGACAACTAAATATACAGCTGGGCCGGGAGGTTCCTGGCAGCCCAGGCAGAGAGGGTAGAGTTGGGATCCATAAAGCCTCTGTCTCCCAGTGAGAGCAACAGGAAAAGCAGCCTTCTCCTGGCCCTGAGCGCCACGAGGCCTTGGGAGTGCCCGACAGCTTCCAGACCTACGCTGCAGAGACCTTCCCTCCTGGGCAGGTCTAGAGCTGTGCCAGAGGCATGATGTCATGGCTCCATTCTGTCCAGGCAGTTCTCTGCTCCCTAAGGGATGCAGCCCAGGCAGGTGGCTTCCCCAGGCCTGGATGGCAAGCCAGCAGGTAAGAGGTTCAATCCCTTCCTGGCACTAAGCAGTGGCAGGGCTCAGGAAGCCTGTTCGTCTCCCCACATACATGCTTAGCTTTAAATAAGATACATCAGCTCATAATACAGAGCCTGGCGTAGAGCAGGGCTTAGTGTTCCTTCTCACCCTGTTCAAGTCCAAGACGAGGCACACAGAAGCTGGGGGTGACGACATGCCCTTGGCGAGAACATGCTCACATGGAGTATGCCTAGCAATGCCACCAAAGCTTTAGGAAGAAGTGCATGCGTGCATGCATGTGCACATTGACTTGTGTATGCGTGCATGAATGTGCGTGCATGTGGATTTGTGTGTCCGTGTGTACATGAACGTGTGTATGAGGAAAGTGCTGAAATAGCTAAAACATGGCACTTGTGGTACCAGGTGCTATTCTAAGCACTTTACATATATCAACATAGTTAATCCTCACACAGCTTAATAACTTAGGGACATCACTAATTATTATTATCACCATCATCATCATCATGTGGCTCCTCTAGGCCTCCGGAGACTTTCCTCTGACTCATCAGAGCCAATTCTCCTGCCCTCAGGTTCCTCAGATCGCAAGGCAAGGTTCACACACAGGCAGTGTGGCTCCAGGTCCAGAGAATGTTCTGGGCCACAGTGCTGCTCCCAGGACACTGGTGCACGGAGACCTGTGTGATGCTAGCTACCTACCAGCCTTGCTTCCTGTGTTTCTCCTGTCTTTCCTCACCGGCCGCTCCCGAGGACCTGGTCATTGCGCAGCAGGCAGAGGTAAGTAGAGATACAATACTGACAAGAAAGGAAAAGCTGTCTGCCTCCTGGGACTTGGTGCCCACAGGATGGGCCAGAGGGCCAGTGAGCAGCCTTGAGTACAGGGGCTGATGCTGCTGTGGTGGCTGCCTGGGGCAGCTCTGCGAAGCTCCCAGGCCTGTCTCTAACAGTGTCCTGGCCTCTCTGTCCAGCCCCAGTGGCCTGGCTGGTCCTGGGCACACACAGCCACTGCTCCCTCTTCCTCCACTCAGGGCTCAATCACCTAAGCTCCACACCGGCTCGGGCTCGTGTGGGGTTAAGATGTTCTTCTTTAGTATGATGTTGGAAACATTTTTAAATTGGTTGTTTAAAATCAAGAATTTCATATAAAAATCTAGATTCCCAGTCTCTTTGAAAAGTCCACAGATCTGGGGCACCAGGCCTGAATTCCCAAACGGGAACGCTGGTGGAGTTCAGTGGCTTCTGTGCCCTCTGAGGGTCCATGCACTTGCTCTTTCTCTGGTCCCCATACATCCAGCCCACATTTCCTCACGTCGCTTTACCAGGTGTTCACCTCTTCTACTTTGACCTGTGGGGCACAGGTGTCCCCCAAGGGCACCGGGGCCAGGACCTTAAATGAACAGTCAGAGGACATACGGGGGTCCCCAAGAGGAGAGCGTGCTAGCCTGGCAGTGCAGCCTCCACGCCCGTCTTCCTGCTCATGCCCAGGTCCCCTTCACCTCCGCTTCTCCCACCGCTGAGTGTCCTTTCCTTCTGCTTTCCTGCTGCCTGGCCATGCAGTGAACAGGTTCCTCTACCTGGAAGTATCTTTCCTCTTCAGTCTGTGCAAATTTCTTATTAACCCTTGGGAACAGCTCAGACATCCCCTCCTATGTGACCTGTCCCTTCAGCACATCCACAGTGTTCTCACTGTCCCTGGCATCCATCATAGCTGGTTCGAAGACAGGCACCTCTGCCTGGTTCCACACCAGGGGCCGCCTCCCTCTCCCCAGTCCGGACCAATGCTGGGCTGGGAGCAGAGGTCAAGGAGTGCTGTGTGAAGAATGAACACACGGTCCCGATCTCACTACTGTGCTCACAGGTGACTGAGGCCAGTCAGGGGCAAGAGACACTGAGAAGAACAATTCTAAAATTCTCTCTAGAGAGCCACAAACCATGGGTAATTCCATCCAGCCTCTGCTTGACACCAGCCATTCCTGCTCCCGTCTCCTATCCCCAAGACATGCGTCGTTATCTGTCTGTCCATCCCTCCTTCCACACTTCCATTACTCCCACACTTGGGCCCCAGCACTGTTCTAGGTGTTAGAGAGCCTCAGAACTGCCAGAGGGCTGGAAACATGGGAATCCTTCCAGGGTCTCCTCTGTTGGAAACCCTTTGCTGCCTTCCTGCCTCCCCCACATCCACCCCCCAGGGTAAAGTTCAAACTTGGCTGGCAGGCCAGGCCCTGCCCCGCCCACTCCACCAGCCTCTGGGTGCAGAGCCTGGGCCAGGCAGAGGGCAGCTGCCTCAGAGCCAGCCCCACTGTTCATGGGTACCTGAGTCTCTGAAGGCCCCTCCCAACCTCAGCACAACTGCCTTCCCAGGAAGCCTCTTGAGCACTCTCCCTGCCCTTGAACAGGGCTCTGAGAGCCGGGAAAGGGAGCACCACAGGCCCTGCGTTGGAAGGGGAACTGGCACCTGAGCAGAAGCCCAAAGGCAGACATGAGTGGGGTCTGATGAGGACCTGGGGTGGGCAGTGGGCATGAGGGACGGTGCTTGAATAGGCTGGGAGAAGAGCAGCACCCTGCCCTGGCCAAGACCGTGGGCCATGATGAACACTGACTCCACATGTCGCTCAGGGGCTCTGGGAAATGAGGAGCCTCCCCCAGAGGCCCTCCAAGTGCTGAGCCTGGCCAGGCAGGGGTGGGGACACAGGCAAAAGGTGATGGTCAAGGCCAAAGGCTATAAAACAAGGATTCCAAGCCCATCTCTGCACTGGTCCAGGTACACATCCTGGATAAGCAGTTGAGGAGCAG